ATTTATATAAATTTTTTTTTGGTACTGGGGATTGAACTTGGGTCCTTGTGCTTGCAAGGCAGGCCACCGAACCGCTGAGCTAAATCCCCAGCCCTTATACAAGAATATATTGAATTAATATTTTTAGCTATTACAGTGTCCTGTGTTTTATATGACCTGTATGTAATTCATGTAACTGTTAAGTATCTTGCTGGATCATAATTCTGGTGTGAAATTTTTATGTTTACATTGGGTCTCCCAGAAATGTCCTATATTTAAAAGTAAAATTTTTAACATCCTTCATAGTTATATGGTTTTGCTTTTCTTCTTCCACAAGCTTTCCTTTTGTTTGAAGTTTATTATTTTTGATGATTGTACATTTAATGTCTGATATTTACAAACCCTGGGAGTTACCTGAAAATGGCATAGTGATTTCAATAGGTCTGCACTACATGCAGCTTGACATTCCCTTGGAAATTCTATAGCTGTGTTTGGTAGAAGCCCTGGGTTCTGCTGAAAGCATGCCAGAAAGAAAAGAAATATTCTTCTGTTCTTGGCCCATGGAAGGAAAATCCTAGTTTTGGTTTAGTACCAGAAGTCCCTTGGGCAGGTCAGAACTGGTCTCTTTTTCCCAAAAGTTCTAACTACGTTTTATATGTGGCCCAAGTTGTCAGAATCCATTTTAAACATGAACTAGCTGTGGTTTGACCATTTTAAAGACTGGGCTGGAAAGTGCAAATGTTGACCTCATCTTTCCCTGATACAAGCCAAAGGACTGATTAGTCATCGGGTTCTTGACCTTATTCGCCACAGAGAACTCCAAATTTGAGAATGGGTAAAGTACTTTAAATCATAGATTGGACAGCTCCTTTCCTTTTTACCACTGTTGGGGCCTTAACCATACCAATGTAGCATGCCAGGATTTGATTTTCTCTCTGCATGAAAAAAAAGTCCCACAGGTCTAGTCTTCAGGGCAGTAGGTTTCCTATTGCATTCAGTTATCCCAACAGTGAATTTTGCTCTTACTTCATTGGAGACCATGTGTCATAGAGATATTCGTTAAGGTCCTAACTAAGCTGCTGTAATAGAAAAATTATACCGACTCAAACAAAATAGCAGTTAGTTCTCTCACACCCCGTAGGCTTGTCTGTCTCGTGAGATCTTCTACACACTCAAGTTGATAGGTGCCTCTCCCATGCCTGACTTGTGTTTCCAGGGGTGGCCCGTTGTCATCATTTCTAGCCCAAACAAAATGTAAAAGAGTGATGACTGGGGCAAGCTGTTTCCTCTTAAGCAAATGGCATGGAAGTTGTACGTGTCACCTTTGCTTGGTTGCTGTTGGCAAAAACTTGGTCATATGGTACCTCTGGCTCAAAGGACACAAGTGAGCAGTCTTTCAGTGGGTGGCCCTGTGCCCTGGTGCTCTCTGTTACTCTAGAACAAGAGAAGAATGAGGAGCTGTGGTTAACTAGCATTCTGCCAGCAATGAAGGTAAACTTGTCATCTAGATTTTACAAGGAAATTTTTACAGAGAAAAATGACACAAGAAATACAGACATTGTTAAAATGAGTTACCTATAATTACATTTTGGACAGAGGGCTAATATTTAGAACATATAAAGAATTTAAAACAATCAGATCCCTCAAAATATGGACAATTAAAAACGGGCAAGCAGAATAATACTTTTCAGAAGAAGTACAAATGGCCAATAAATACATGAAGAAAATGTTCACCATCTCTTCCATTTGAGAAATGCAAATTAAAACAACACTGAGGTTCCATTATTCCAGAAAGAATGGCTGCCATCATGAAATCGGATAATAACATATGTTAGCAAGGTTACAGGAAAAAAGAAAACCATCTATATTTTTAGTGGAAGTGTAAACTACTCAACAACTATGGAATCAATAGAGTTTCCTTAAAATGCTAAAAATAGAATTTCCATGTGACCTAGCTATTCCCTTCCTACATATCTTCCCAAAGGAGTTAGACATATTATTACAGTGATACATGCATGCTCATGTTTATAGCAGCACAACTTATAATAACTAAATCTTGGAAGCAGCCTATCTGTCCATCAACAGATAAACGGATAAAGAAAATGTATACAATAGAGTATTACTGTGCTGCACAGAAGATTAAAATTGAGTCACTTGTAGGAAAATGCCTGCACCTTGAAAGCATGTTAAGTGAAATAAACATATAAGCTTAAACATCGCATGGCTTCTCTTATATAAGAAATCCAAAGTACAAATAAATCAGAGAGCAAAGTAAATGATTTATGATAGAAAACAGACGTAGATCTTTTACAAATGGCAAAGGGACTAAGAGATGGAAAGAGGCCTCAGTGGAAGGGGATATAAAAAGTATTAAGATGTGTTATGTGCATGTACCAACTCCCCCACAATGACTGTAGCCAATTATGTACCACAGACATATACTAATAAAAATAAAGATTAAATAAAATAAAATAACTTGCCTAATTTTGTGCAGAACTTAGAAGCATTCAGAAAAATAACAAGTCGAATACACAGATTCCTGTTAAATTAAAAGACTTGCAAGTGTCAGAGAATCACCTCTTATTCTTTCTTGGATAGGTACCCATTTAAAAAAAAAAAATACAGTGAATGCCACTACCGAGTTCCATCCACTGGAAAGACGGGGATCTTCAGTACAAGAAGTGGTACATCAGACCTTAGCAACAATGTGTGAGAAGTTGCAACCTGTTAAGTACAGTCAGTTGGTTGTGAGCTACAGTTGAGAGAAGGTGTGCTTCCAAGGGTGACCTAAATCATGGATCCTGAACAAGGCATTAACACAGAAGAGTTGCATGATTGTGTGGATTCAGATTTCTGCTTTTTTTTTGTACCGGGGATCGAACTCTGGACCTTGCACTTGTGAGGCAGGCGGCAGAACCACTGAGCTAAATCCCTGGCCCTAAATTTCAGCTTTTTAAAAAAATGTCTTCATGGGAGATGGAGAAATCATGTCTATGGTTACAATCCTGAGACCGAGGTTCTGAGTTCTCAATGAAAATCACAGTTCTCCTTTGAAAAACATTGCATTAATCACAACACAATATCAAGATGATGTTATGTTTTTGACCCTGATAAAATTGTGCAAGCTGAGTTGATACTGAGGAATACTGCGCACTATGGTGAACTCTGAATATTATAAGGCCTTACTAGAGCATTTAAGAAATGATACGTATGGCCTGAGAAATGGGCAGATGGTTTGAGCTCCCATCATGACAGTGCTGTCACACATCACTCTCAGTGCAGCCATGTCTGCCAAAAACTTTAAATAGCTTGTCTTCACCCACCGTATTTGTCACATCTGGTACCATGCAACTTTGGGCTGTCCCCCAAAGTCAAAATTACTGTGGAAGGTAAATTTCTTTTTGGTACTAAAAATCGACTCAGGGCCTCACTTTTGCTAGGCAGGCACTGTGCCACTGAGCCACATTCCCAGCCCTAAAGGTAAGTATTGTAAATCAGTTCAGGACACTGAGCAGCCACGACAGTGCTAACGAAAGACATTTCTGAAAGAGAACTTCCAGAACTGCTTCAGAAATGAGAAAATGGGACGTGTTGGGGAGGGCAATATTTTGTGGAGGACCAGTGGCACTGTCTTTTACTGTGATAAAATTTTTCATGCAAGCATTTGCTGTATGTTTTGGTCACTGCTATATATTATCTCTCAGTAGCATATCTTCCCTCGGTCCTTCACAAGATTCCTGAAAACACACCTTTGCCCTTACAAACCATATGATGGATAATGTAGCATTTATTTTCTTTTCTCCCAGGAGGCACTTGAGGTATGCTCCAAGGAGCAGGAGTTCAAAAGCATTCTCTTTTCTCTATGCTACTTCCATGCCTGTGTTGCGGGGAGACTAAGATTTGGCTCCCAAGGCTGGAGCCGAAGCTATCCTTTCAACCCTGGAGACCTTACCATCTGTGCCCATGTCCTCTACAACTACTTGGAGGCAAACCCTAACGTAAGTGCTGGTGGTCAGACAACCCTTTCCAAGGAATGTACTGAATCTCTCCGTCTGGGGACACTATCAGAATGGATTACAATCTCTTGTGAAGCTATTATTGAAATAGCTGACTATCTATATGTCTGTCTGTCTATCTAATCTGCCAAATGTGAAAATAAACTAGATCAAGGGTTTTCCAGCCTTGGATGATAGAACTTTATAAGACAGGTCGGACTAGCTCTACATCAGCAGCTTGGTACCAAAAAAAAAAAAATGCCCTTCATTATGTTAACAAAAACAGTGGTTTACATGTGCATATATGCCAGATTCATTAGGCAGGTAATGAAGCATTTGCACAAATGTAATTACATACAGCAATTCTGACAGTTCATAGCACTGCATTAATAATCACTACAATTAGTTCTGATGATGGAAGCAATTTACAGTGCGTCACATGTATAAATAATGGTGCACTTCCTGCATATGTCATTATTATGTATTAAGGATGCCACCTTGTTGTGACTTTCTCGGTAACATTCTCCTTGATTTGAAGTTAAAGGTAGATGAAGGGATGGGACAGGAATGCTCGACAACAGCCGTTGTGTAAACTCTTACCAACCTAGTGATTGAATTTCAGAGAGGAAGAGCCATTCGTTCCTAAGGACTTTCTGGTTTAGTCCTTGCAAAGGAAACCTCACCTCAAAATCTTAATGATTTTGAGTTAAATCATTAAAAGTGGGATGGAAAAAAAAAAAAGTAGGATGGGGTTATCAAGTCCAATGTGTTGGGCTCTGGGCCGCACTTTCCATATGAGCCTTTACTAGCCCCGTGTATATTAAGGAGATACGTCTTTTGGTGGCCTCCATTACAGTTCTTGTTGTTAATGATTCCTCAGTCTTTAGTGGTGATTCAACTGTTATTAGAATAGGGACACTTGGCACACGGCATGGATGTGTTCTCCCAAGGGCCAGATTTTGAATACGTTGTTTCCAAAATAAATGCTTTTAATATAGTTTGTGATAATTAATATTCCCTATCTTCTTAATTTATGAAATTAAAGTCAATCTGTACACTTTGAGTGTGCCCTAGCCAGTCTAGTGAATAACAATTGTGTTGACCTCATCATGTGTTTTTTAAAGTATTGCACATAAAATTGATTATTGTAATAGTTCAGAGTAAAAAAAAAAAAGGGTCACTTAACACTTATACTCAAGTTCTGTATAAATTGTCCCCCAAGGCTGAATCCAGGATTACTGTCCTATTTGAGCGATTCCTGAACATAATTGAGGTAGAAATGAAAGGGAGGAGTTGACAAGTGTGCTTTCTCTGGCTCTCACATCTACGTCTGTTCCTCGGGAGGTTTCAGGCCAAGACAGCTTTTGGCTGTCAGCGCACCCTGTTGTCCCTCAGATGTCTTTACCCTCTTTATTTGCCACATATCCTAGAGCAGGTTATCAGAATTCAAGAATGTTTGAAATGTGCACATAGTTTGGTTACACAGATACCGTTTTCAAGAAGATACATATCAAAGACAAAGATCAGATTTAGGAGAAAGAAAATCAGTTGCTGAAAAGAACAGAGCTTTACCTACTTAAAATCATGATGTAGATACATATCAGATACAGTACTAAAGTACAGAAAAGGCATACGTTGGATGCAATCAGAAAGGACAATGAATTAAGCAATCCGTCATCTCAGCTGGATGCAGGTGGTCCGTGGCGGGGTAGAGAGAACATGTTGCACTCTGGCCCCTTTTCCTCTTGCACAACAAGCTAGCTTAAAAGAAAGGCATATTTGAGGTTCATTTATTCAAATTCAAATAAACTTGTAGCAAGTACATTGGAATACTTGGAGCAGTTTTACTTGTTCTGTTCTGTCACATCACGCACAAGCAAAGGCTATAATTATGTTTTTACTTGAACCATTGGGAGGCAATAGACTGCCCCCGAGGGTGTAAAGGTTCCTGTCTACAAAGGTTTTATCACACACTGGCATGTTTTGCAAACCCGGAGAAAGCTAAAGGGTACCAAAGAGAGGCTTCAAATCCTGCTAAGCCAAGTAAAGAGGAGATAGAGATTTCTTGGCTACAATATGGTAGTCATTAGGTACAACCTTTACAAAAGTCCCTCAGCCAGTCAGACCTTAAACTGAGCCCTTGAGTCAGTCAGTGGCAGAGGGATTTGTTTGCCTGGCCTTTTAGGAAGTGACAGAATTCAAAATGCTCCCCTAATTCAAATTGTATTAAATTTGATTCTCTCTTTCTAATTCTTTTTTTTTTTTTTAACTGAGGATCTAACTCAGGACCTTGTGCTTGTATGGCTGTTTCTTTTCTTCAATCAGATAGTAAAAACTGATACAAATCAAGTCATAAAAAACAGGTAAAACTTCCAAGGCTCCATGAACCAACATCCTCTGAGGATTTCTAGAGAGTTTGAATATATAAACTTTCCTGCGTAACATATTTTAGAAATGATTCCATTTTCTTTAAGATCTGCCTAAATACTTTAACACTAATAAGTTTTTCACCAAATGTTTTAGGACACATTGAAAATAATTCTCCCACGAAATTCTGCACAGAAACTTAAACAACATCCACACCTCTTTCAGGCACCTCTGTTGACAAAGGCTTTGGGATCATTGTGTTAGAGGGGCATGTGCCACTAGTTGGCCTAGCTGAGGCAGACACTCTGGCCCGGGAAGTGAACATCTGCCTGAATTTGTCCCCAGGTCCCATGGGAAGACCTCCGTTATCTCTTTGGTGAGATCATGTACGGGGGCCACATCACAGATGTCTGGGATCGCAGACTGTGCCGGGTGTATTTAGAGGAATTCATGAATCCATCCCTGGTAAGACATTTTCTAATTAATTCCACTGAAGAGAAAATTCTGGTGTTAAGATAACTTTACTGCTGTATATGGCTAATTCTTAAATGTTGTCGGCCTTTTGCTAGTGTGTTCTGGTCTGTCTTCATGGGAGTTTGGCAGTTTGTTAGAAATGTAGAATCTCAGGCCCCTTCCTAGATGGGCAGAAAAAGATTCCACATTTTTGTAAGACTCCTCGGTGATGATTCATGCACATATGGGATATACCAAGGGGAGGTGCTGTCACACACACTGGAGTACAGGGCCAGATCCCTGAGAGCCACACAGAGCTGATGCTGTCACGCCACTGTACAGACCAAAATAGAGGCAAACTACAGCTGTGGACCACTCAGCAAGTACAGGGAGCCAGAATGTAAGCCCTGATTTTAGTTCTATTATGCATTTCACAGTAGTTTTCTTACTTGCCAAAGAAATCACAGCATATTATAAATTTGGGTCAATAGCACCTTACTAAATAGATGCTCAAGAAAAATGGGGTGCATAAATATGTAGTTAATGGATTTGTTACCTTGATTTAATCATTCCACAATGTAAATGTTTCAAAATAGCACACTGTACTCCAAGAACACATAGTTAGTATTTGTCAAATAAAAATGAAATTAAAATCTAATGAGAATGACACAAATAATATTAACTAAGTGCATTGTAAGAACTAAGTGCACTGGATCTTCTCTCAAACAACCTGTTAAAAACAATAACATTTATGACACAAAGATAAATTAGCATTAGTCCTTAACACATTATAGGACTATGGAATTCCTATTGACATTCTATGTGAATATACTTTAAAAAGAAAAACGTGGCGACTTGAGCTTTTCATCCCGCTCCTCTGATGAAGGGGTGGATCAGTCTGTGCTGGTTTAGACACCCAGCATCTTTTTCTCCTTTATCCTTGTATTGACCCTGTGTCTCTGTAGAAAACATTAACAAGCAGAGCTCTTTCTGGTAAAAGTGCTGTTCTTTTTCACACTAAAGAAGCTGGGAGGCAGCCATGGTTTCCTCATGTGAGCTGTCTCTCTAATGGTACTCAGGTTCATAGCTATTCCCAAGCCAGTCCTAGAAGACTTGGGGCACTTGTATTAGCTTTCTGTCACTGTGATAAAACAATTGAGATCATCAGTTCAAAAGAAGTAATGGCACACACACACAAAAAAAAAACCAGGCGTGGTGGCACATGCCTGTAATCCCAGCACTCAGGAGGCTGAGGTAGGATCGCTGTGAGTTCGAGACCAGCCTGGGCTACATAGTGAGTTCCAGGTCAGTCTCAACTACATAGTGAGACCCTGTCTCAAAAAAAAAAAAAAAGGTAATGGTTTATTTTGGCTCATGGTTTCCTAAGTTTCAGTCCATAGTCAGTTGGCCCCATTCTCTGGGCCTGTGGCATAGCAGTATATCATGGTGAGAGTACACTGGGGAGGAGGCTGTGCACTTAGGGCAGTCAGGAAGCAGAGAAAGGAAAAGGGCGGGGCCAGGGCCCCAACAGCCCCTTCAAGACTGCACCCCAACATCCTCACCTCCTTCTACTATGCGCCACCTCCTAAAGGATTCCCACACCCCATAGCCACACGCTTGTGACTCAACCATTAACACAGGGTTCTTTAACGGACACTTGTGAAGCACAGCAGTGTTCTATACCATCCCATTTCTGTTGGGCAAGACACCTCCTGTGTTCAGAGAGCAGTGCTAAAGGATTTTTTTAGTCGTGTGCACAACCTCGTTTATAATTCCTGAAAATTTCATCTCAGACAAGCATTGCAGATGTGATCACCTTCCTCTCTAGGTTTTGAGCAGTGATGTAATCATGTGTTAGAGGATACTACAGTCTAATAAAACCGGACACAGGTTATTGTTTACTACTTTGAATAGCATTAAACACTTCAGGGACAAGGAAGAAACAAAATGACTTCCCTGCTATGTGACCATTGTTGTAAGTGTTTTTCTCATTGTGAGTCTCCTGGTCGTCCTCCTTTCTAATGAGCAGGATTTCACATGTTAAAGATACTTTCTATTTAACACAATTGCAAGTCGTGCCTCAGAAGAGGTCTAGCTCCAAGTTACCATGGAGATGGGAAAGATAAACAGTGCCAGCAACTGACCTTTACAGAGGCTGATTTTTCCAATGAGGGTGGAGGTCAAGGGGCAGAGCAGGAAGCTCCTGGAAGGTTCCCTCCATCGCTCTGGCCTGTGGCTAAGGGGGGAATTACTGTTGCGGAACGAGACAGTCCATTAACCTTCACAAGTCTGAACTCCCATTCAAATAATTGTGAAGTAAATGTAGGTGATGAGACCTGTGGGGCATCACTGGTGTGTGTAAGCCCTTTAGAAATGTAGGTACCTGACCTTCCACACCGATCTGGTGGGATTTTCAGGATCGAAATGCTTCATTTGCAAGCTTGAGTCCTCACTGGACAGTGTTACCTTCTCAGCAAGGGAAATTAATGCATTTACTGTGTCAGATGCTGCAAATCTGTTACTTTGTCCTACAAGGCTTCCTGCTCCTGCCGTGTATATTGTTAGCAAGGAGATCTAACACTTCAGCATCTGCAGGATGTCTTTTTGCCACTTCTCACATTCGTTAATGTATTTGCAGATCAGTATCTTTGTTGCATTAGAACCTGATTAATAATAGGTTGTTTAAAGTTCTGCTCTTATCAAAAGAATTGAAATGCTTCCAGCAGTGTCTGCCACACAAGTTGGTGAGATGACTGCTGGTGACATGGGCAGTAAAGAACTGACCAAGATCAGAGTAAGAAAATGTTTATTCAGACTGAGTACACTAACAAGGGAGAACAGGTGCATTTCCAAGAAAGGAGTCTGCCATCAGGGTGAGACTGGTTGTTGGATTTTGATTGTGCAGTATTGGGAGTTGAACCAGGGGCTCTGCATCGAGCTGCACCCTCGCCCTTTAAAAAAGTTGTTTTTAGAGACAGGGTCTTGCTGAATTGTCTAGGCTGGGCTTAAACTAATACTCCTCCTGCCTCAGCCTCCCAGAGTGTTATGATTACAGGGTAGAGACTGGGGGTTTTATAAGGGCTTGAGTACTTAGAAAACGGGTCTAAGCAGCCAATCCAGGCATCACATGTATATTTTTTTCAGATCAGCAGGTTCTTGATCTTTTCAAATACCTGTTGTACCTAAAATTGTGCACTAAAGTTGCAAATTGACAAGGTACTTACTGTTTTCATGAAGCCACTTTAGTTAGCTGTGGATGAGGTTATCTATACACAGTAACTTGCGGGGGGCACCTTGCACTTGCAAGGCGGGCGGCAGAACCACTGAGCTAAATCCCTGACCACCACACAGTAACTATTTCAGAGAAGATGACTCAGGGCTCCTTGGAAGGAACAAATAGATCTTGTATTTCTTTTTACACTTTCTCTGGGCAGCACTGCTTCATGAACTCAGTACGTACTTGGCAGGATTGTGTCCACCAAGAAGTTCTGCTGCTGAAAAGGGTCTTAATCCTTTTGTCAGTACTAGGTGTCACCACAGTTTCTTGGTGTCAGGAGAAAGGATGAGTTTCTTGTTGGATGAATGAATTTGCATTCAGAGTACTCCAGTGCCCAAGTGTCTTTGGGCAAAATTAAGGGTGAAAACATTTTCACATATAACATAGGTACTTGGCAGTGCTAAATAATACAGTAAACTTTTAGAAAATTATCAGTTATTTTTTGAAAGTGGTGTGTATCTAGATGTCGATGTCCCCACAAAGCCTCACGGGGTCATTAGTGGGTAGTTTCAAAGGCACCTGGACTAGCTGCGTGAATGTGGATAGAATGCGGATAATGGAAGCCTCACCCTGGGTATGGATGGCACCAATCAATGGGCTTGTGGCCTTGATGAAATAGAAAGGGACAGAAAGGTAGATCTGCTGCTGCTTCTGCTTGCTGCCTTCTCACTTGCACATGATGGATTATTTCTCCTCTCCCATACTCCTCTGCCATACTGCCCTGCCTTGGAACCAGTGGGCTATGGACTAAACCATCTACCAACTGTGAGCTGAAATAAATCTTTCCTCCTTTAACTTGGGGTACTGAGTATTTTCATCTCAGCAATGAGAAAGTAACTAACACAGAAAGTCATCATATAGCACAAACTATTTTGATGATAAGTTACAATTAAGATCCAAGGATTGAGGTAAAAAAATAAATAAATAAAACCTTTCAAATATACGATCTTGTGTTTGCTCTGCGATCCTAGACATAGGACTGAACTTTTTTAGCCTCACCTTCATCACCTACAAGACAATTAACCAACTCATGAATTTGTTAGGTTTGAACAGATTTAATGTTAGAATAAAGTGCTAAGTGAACAGTATTTCTATTAAGTATGAAATTATAATATGCACTTTGTATTTGACTTCCATTTCTTAGCCTATGATGACAGCAATGGAAACCATTTGTTAAACACCTGTGCTGCATCAGAGGTCATTACCACATACTTCAGGTGTATTATTCTTTTCTTACTATAATCCTGCAGAGTAGGCATTATCTCCTTTAATCGAAAAAGAAACTCAGACCCAGGTCAAACAGCTACTAAGCAGCAGAACTAGGACTTTTAACGTCAAAGACTCCAATGACCAGTCTTGCTGTGTGCCATACTGCACTGGCTGGGGTGTTGTCAGGTCGACAAACATCACAAAACACTGAGGCATGTTTGAACTCCTAGGTGTGGGGGCACTGAGAACAAGGAAAACCCAGTAGAAGAGAATTCTAAGTTGTGCTACTTAACTTCCTGTCTAGCTTTGCTCCAGACCTCAGCTTGTGTGTAAAATAAGTTATCCTCTAGAAAATCACCACTGCACTTTTCAGCTCTAAAGGCAACACAATGATGCCATTCAACTTTCAGTAATTTCTGAAAATCCCAAAAGCATTTCCAGACCACATTTGTGACCCAGAGAACAAGGGCATGTGTATTTGTTTTTACTCACAGCTACCTGGGAGCTTCTTGTCATTACCAAGTCTACTTGGAGGGGTAAAGTTTTATTAAATGCCAGAAAAGAAAGCATGAAAAGGGCAACAATCCAATAAGGTCAACATAGCAGGAAGTATGCTGCTGGTTTTTCCAGTTTCTAATCATTGTGCCTTGCAGCACTTTCTCCACAGATGTCTTCATATCCTTGATTATTTTTTTCATGATATGGAAGTTGAATCTGCCTGAAGAGGAATCCACTGATTTTTCTGTTTTACTAAAATATAATTTGCACACCACAAAATTTACCAATTTAAATTGCAGAATTTAAAGTTTTGCACAGTTGTGCAGCCATTATCACAACTTTAGAACATCATCTTCAACCACCAAAAATTCTGTACCCATTAAATCACTCACCATTTTCCCGTCCACCCCAACCATGGTACTTCCCACTTTGCAGACCCTGGCAATCATTAATCTACTTCTAGCTGGGGATTTACCTCAGTGGTTCTGCTGCCTGCCTTGCAAGCTCAAGGAACAGAGTTCAATCCGCAGTACCACAAAAAATAAAGAAGTGCATTAGTCTACTTCTGTCTCTGTAGATTTACCTATTCTGGACGTTTTGGATAAATGGAATCATTTGATATTGCAGCTATTTGTGTCCAACTTATTTTTAATTAACATGTTGTCAAGAGCTATCCCTGTAGCATGTCAGAATCTCATTCCCTTTTATAATCAGATACTCTTGAGTTGATAGATACACTATATTGTTCATTGGTAGGCATTTTGGTTGTTTCTGGATTTTGGCTATTATAACATTGCTGTTAAATTTAGGGCATACATTTTGTAGGGACTTATGAGTTCAGTTCTTTTGGGAATATGCCTAGGAATGGAACTGCTGGGTCAAATGGTATGCTCAGTGTCTGGAGGAACCACTTAAGTGTTTTCCACTAGCAGTGTATGAAGGCTTTTTTTCTGCATCCTCACCAACACTGCTACTGCCCACACTTTTTTATTCTTGCCATCCTGGAATGCTATCTCTGATTTGCACGTTCCTGAAGACTAATGATGTCGAGCATCTTTTCATGTGGTCATTGGCCACTTGTACATTTCTTCTCTGGAGAAGGTTTCTTTTAGAATGGGCAATCTCTGAGGCATAACAGCACCTTCTTAAATGGCTCTCCTCCAAAGGCAAGAAATGTGAAGAGAGCCCTTCAGTTAGGGCTTCATTATCAAGAAGCAGTTTTCATAAAAGCCTGAGTGAAAAGTAAGGTCTAGAGTCAGAATAAGGATTCAGAGACTTCTTGGGTGTTTTGAAATCTTCCCTGAGAGGGGAACATTCATGAACCAAACCTTGCTTTTCAAACTTTAGTTGACATGAAATTAGGAATTTAAACTTTCTCAGATTTTGTTTTTCCTTTCAGAAAATCAAGACATACTTTATAACTGTATCCGCTTCTAGGACACAGGAAGATTATGTGTAAAAGCCTGCTTTGGGTTCTAGCAATTAGCCTACCTTATTAAATTCTCACAGCTACAACCATTAAGTCACTATTATGAGCCCCATTTTACTGAAGAAAAGACTAAAACAAAGACTCTCATTTCTTACAGCCACCAAACCATTAGGGGGTGGGAACTAAGCCAGGTCTGCCTGCTGTAGGCCTCAGGCTCTTTTGAGTTTGTTTCTTTGCTTTGCTCATCACAAGGCCTTCTATGAACAGACTGCCTAGTTGTCTTTCCATCTGGAGTCCCGCCAGCATTATGAAAATTCACTCAAATATCCAGTTCTTGCCACATTTTAGTTTTTCCACGTGATTCAAGCTTTGGTTACTTTCTTTGAAATTTTGTTTTAAATGACACATTAACTGCTGCCTTTCAAAACTTCGAGGGGCCTAGTGAGCACTAAGAGAAAAGACCAAGTCCTTGTTTGCAGAGAATGAAATTCAATTTGGGGATTTTTAATGCACATTTTTACTAAAGAAAAACAAGTTTAATTTTCCTGTACAGTTTCCTTTGGGTCATTCTTAGTCAAATGGCATTTTAATTCTGATTATTCTTGTTTATATGAAATGATGATGTGAATAAATAGCCAAAACCAAGCTTAGAGATATGGATGGTAGGGTAGTCTCCCTTGTCCCTTCCCACTTCATTGGGTCAAGATTTCTGTCTCTGGCAGTATGAAGGATTAGATAACTTAAAATTCTTAGTATGAAGTGAAAGGAGAAATACAGGTTTAAATATTAATAATGCCCTTAGAACTTAGAGCGTTGCTGTTAAGGTCACAGGCTCTCTCAGCAATCCAGGATTGCAGATTTGAGAGGAAAACCAACATTATTCACAGATAACATGACTTTGTAGAAAGTCACATTTATTTTGTCCCCTTTAGAGTCTCAAGTTCACTAAGAACTAGGTCATATTAAGTTTTCTGGCTTCCCAGGTTTGCTGTGTGGCCGAGTGCTTATTATTGAATGGATTAATGAACACTCCCCAGTGAGAGTGAAGGTTCACAGCACAGTATCACATGGCCACAGATACAATGTACTTTCGAAAACTGACTTTTAAAAAATCTAGCCAGAAAAGAACTATGTTGTGATGATTAAACAGCATTTTCCTATACATATATGTGCAAATATAGACAGAACTTTCAGCACTAGTGAGTGGGAAAATTGAAACAGATGTTAACTGCCTCGAGAACGGAGAGTCATCTGGACAAAATCTCAGATTATTCTGTTTATTGGAAAACTATAAGCTTTGATTGACTCTGGTTATGGCTGCACAGAGTCTCAGTCCCATAAGTGTTTTGGATTCAAGTACATTCTGAGTTTGAGGGTTTGGAATTGGTGTTCACATTGCATCTGCTCAAAATATCGCTCTGTAAAGAATGTCCACCCCTCTCCAAGAGCATCAAAGAAGCGAGCGCAAGGAAGGCCATGTTACTGCAGTCTTTCATTCTCCAGGCAACTGTGCATTGAGCAGCAGTGTGTGTCAGCCACGGATCCCGTTTATGGATCCTGAGATACCACTGACTTTCCCCTGCATACCAGTCTGTGGTCCTAGGGGGTAGCAGCAATTTGACTTTTACTTTTAGCCTTATATATCCACATATTTTTCAAGTTATTTGTAATGTTTACATTATACATGACTCATAGTAGTACCATGGAAAGTACGGTAGACTAGGAAAGTATAGACTATAGATGCATACTAAAGTGAGTTCAAAATTAAGATTAAAATCAAACATCTGCCTAGGCAAATTAATGTCCATTTTTATTTTCTCTGAAAAATGGGGGTGTTTGGGAGAGTCAGTGGATCTAAGCAGTGACCAGTAGGCAGTGATAGGACACTGGTTCATTCCTTGTATCACATCGCTCCAAGCTTTCTTAGAACAGGATTCACGTACTTCCCTTGTAGTCCTCTCCAGAGGCAGCCTCCAGAACAGAATTACTGATTGGGAAGCATTGTAGAATCTGCCGCTCACCTAGCATCATGCTGGGTTCTTGCCAGTATCCCAACCCAGTTTCGGGCTGACGTTTCCTTTCTGGTTGCAGACTGAAGACGAACTCATGCTGGCACCGGGCTTTGCAGCCCCTCCCTATCTGGATTATTCAGGCTACCACCAGTACATCGAGGAAATGCTGCCTCCAGAGAGTCCAACATTGTATGGCCTCCACCCCAATGCTGAGATAGAGTTCCTGACAGTGACGTCCAACACGCTTTTCAGAACTTTGCTGGAGATGCAGCCCAGGAATGCACTTGGCAGTGACGAACTGGGGCTGTCTACAGAAGACAAGGTAGTCTTTTCATTTGTTAAGATACCTGCACTGAGGGCTGGGGATTTGGCTCAGTGGTTCTGCCACCTGCCTCGTAAGCACAAAGGTCCAAGTTCGATCCCCGGGACCAAAAAGATACATACACTGAAATGCTCTAATCTTAAATGTAAATCTCTGATAAATTTTTACCTTCCTATGTACTCATAACCATCACATACAGAACGAATACAGAACATTTTCCGCCAGCCAGGATACTCATGCCCATTACCAGTCAGGTTACCTCTGCACTCCCCAAAGGCAATTGATATCTCACCACTATAATCATACATTAGCTGTATTTGATCTTTAAATACATAGACTCATACAGTGCATATTTGTTCCTATCAGGCATCAATCTTCACAGTACATCTGTGCAATTCATTCATGTTCACATACCAATGGTTTGTTTAGTATTTATATGAATCTGTACTTCTTCACTCTACTGTGGATGGATCTGGGATTGTTTGTAGTTTTCCATTGCTGTGGTCATGAACATCCTCTTACAGTCCTTTGTCAAATTAACTCCTAAAGGTACCTGCTCATGATACTCATTTCCCTTTACCCGGTAGACTGCCAGATCACGGGCTACAATGTCTAGCTCTAACTGTACTCCCAATTTTCTCCAGCCACTTACCAGTTACACTCCCACCAGCAGCATGTGCGAGTTTCAGTTGCTTTGCATCCTTGAAATTTGTGCTAGGGATCGTGGTATCTTAGTGGTTTTAACTTTACATTCCTCAGCCGAGGAAAGTAAGGAACATCTTTTCTTTTCGCATGCATGTGACCACTGCATATACTGTGAAGTACTTGCTCAGCCTTTTTTTTTTTTTCTTTTGGTATCAGAGATCGAACTCAGGTCCTTGCGTTTGCGAGGTAGGCAGCAAAACCACTGATCTAAATCCCCGGCCCACTCATCCTCTTTTGAATTGAGTTCTCGATCTTTTCTCTTATAGATTTAGAAGCTCTTTATTCTGGAAGTGTGTTCTTAGTCAGATATATGAATTTCAAGCGTCTTCTCCAGATCCATGGCTAGCTTTTCACTCAGTGTTTTTGGCTCGGTCATTTATTATGCTATCTTCTTTTACACAGTCTCAGAGGATTGCCATTTGGGTAAGATTTTTACTGCCCTAGAAGAATGGTGGCAGACCTGTGGCACGCATGTCTCAACCTGCCATTTATTGTCATTGAAAGTTCTAAAAGGTTCACTATCATTGCACTAGAAAGATGATGCAGATGAGAAATTACGTTTTAATCTTTAAATATCGTTTCTCATTAATTTAAAACCTGAGTTGATTATTTTCCCCCAAATAAATTAGCCCTTCTTTCAAAATTACTAATCAGGATTCAGTTAACAAAGATTCAGGTTAAATGGAGCTTACTGAACACCAGATCTAATGAGTGTAGTCCTAGGAACTGCTCATATTATTTGTTGAACTTTTTCAATTATTTCTTGACTGGTTGCTACAGCCACTCTCAAGAGTGATGTTAGTTCAACTAACAGCAATCTGGGAGAGCAAGAAAAGAGGGAAAGCCACCTGAGGCTAACTGTCAGTGTTTTTTCAGACATTTGTAATTTTAGGTATTTGTTGCTTTTTCCAACTCGATGAAGCTTCATAGAACATGCAGATGAGTACTGAGTGGCTGATCACATCTTCAATGATGAATCTTTCATTTCTTCAAGGCAACATTATAGAAGATAGAAGCTTCTCAATTGTTAAAAATATTGATCCAAATGGATCCAAAAGCATGCTGATTAGAAGGGCAGCATCAGTTAACAGAATGCAGTGCTTTAAAATGCCTCTATGATAAGAAGACTTCATCTTCTGGAAAGCTACAATCCAAAAAATTAGAGGAAATATGTATCCAAAAGACATTCATTACTAGTATGTGCTGAAATTTTAAAAATTTAAAACACTGCAAATTTGCCTTTATATAATATAGTGCATGATTTTTCAGTTATACTCTAATTATTAAATACATTTATACTAGAGTTCATCATCTTAGAGGAACATATTGTATATCATACACCCTTAAAAAACACCTGTTATGTAGGCAAACTGATGTCTTCACATCAGTCACATGCACTTACTCATCATCTTGAAACTACGCACCTGACAATGTGTAACAGTACTTACAAAGTTTGCTTTTCTCTCAGATCAGCTGCAGCTCCCAAGGTTACCCAAATAATGGTGTGTCCTATGTCTTCTGATCAAATCTTTACATGGCATATACTTGATAACTATTCTTATTCCCCTGAAAGCTAGTTGTGTAATAGTGGGAATAAACAGTAGTCTCCCTGACTGTATTTTGGGACCTAATGGAGGGGAAGTAGCTGCCACTGATGTAGAAACTCGTGAGTTTCTACATCTGGGTTGTGTCACTCAGCTCACCTACTAGGTATCTTTAAAATGCATTCATGGCCGAATCTGGTGGCTCGTACCCGTAATCCTAGTTCCCTGGGAGCATTGTTAAATTTGAGGCAAGCCTACAGAAAACTTATCAAGACCGTATCATAAAATTAAAAAATAAATAAGGCTGGGGACATAGTTTATCATTTCCTGGGCTCAATCCCCAATACCACCAAAAAATGTAAAAGTTTTAAAAAATGAATTCAGATCCTTGGAAGTTGGATGATGGACTCTGAGACTTCAGAAAGTAAAATGTAAGTCACCATGAACAGAACTGAATCAGAGATAAATTCTTTGTATGTGTTAATGGTTTAAGGTTAAGAATGTCTTGGATGACATTTTGGAGAAGCTTCCAGAAGAGTTCAACATAGCAGAGATAATGCAAAAGACCTCAAATAGAAGCCCGTATGTCCTTGTTTGTTTCCAAGAATGTGAGAGGATGAATATTCTCATTCGGGAAATTCGTACATCACTTGAACAATTAGAACTTGGATTAAAGGTAAGTTCTAAGTGGGACTAGAGTGGGCTTCACCATACTGGAAGGTGTTCACTGTGTGTTCTCCTCTCCATGCCCAGGGGGAGCTGACATTATCTCCTGATGTGGAAGCCCAGCAGACTGCACTGAGCTACGACAGAGTTCCACACACCTGGAGCAAACTGGCTTCCCCATCTACATACGGCCTTGCCCAGTGGTGAGCTACCTCTTCTCGCTGCCGTGGCCCTTAGTGTCAGTGCTGGTTAGCTGGTTAGCATTCTCAGTCATACCTTCTAGAAATCCTGGAGACCGTGACTGACCCACCGTCAGGCAAACTCCATAACCAATCTCTCACTTCCCCTTGACATGTCGTGTCAGAGCCAGGCACAGAGCAAAACTGAAATTCACTCGTTAGGTATTTGTTCTTGGACAAAATACCTGATCCGTCTCATCTGAAAACTACAGGTAGCAATAAAATTTCATGTTGCAAGACCTGAATGGCCATGGAAGGCAACTGACTGAAGTTTGCCCTCATGTCATTTATATCCTTTATTTTCCAACCTCAGGAGTACAAACACCATCTCACAGATGTGTTCTGGAAGTTGATATGATGTGCCAACTATTCCCTTTCCTGTGGGGGTATGACTAGATGGGTCCCACAGCTAGGGACAGAAATTCAGACGTCGGAATGCTCCGTGGTCTGGTTAGAAATTCACTGTTACAAGACCTTTATTCCTGGCTTGTCGGTGCTGAAGCTCTTTATCCCTACCTCCTGAACCATTCTTCCATACATCGGGACACTGCTGAGCCTTAAACTGAAAGGTCTCCTTAGAATCCAAAAGGATGGCATGTTAGAACTGTCCCCAGCTACCCAAGTGTTGGCTGTAGCAGGCTGTAGCCCACTTCATACATCAAGAAATCATGGATTCATATTTAGTTTTATGATTATACTTACTTTTTCCCACCATTTTGTGCTTCTGTTTTCCATACCCAGTTTATTTGGTGAGCCCCGTACCATTCCTATTTCATGGAGACCTTTTGTGTCCTAACAAAGTTTTCTCTAACTCAATGTAAACATTTTTCTGTAGACCGTCCGGCTTCCCCCTGCAATCAGCTGCCTGCTAGTGTTCTTTCACACATTTTTGTTTATAGCTGGTAACTATTTGTTTTAATAATATATCCACTTCTCTGTTCAGCATTACTTTTCCATCTTGTTCTGGGCTCTTTTCTTTTTCCCACAGTATAAACCACGGCGTGAGGGGGTCACATCCTTTCTGACTGAATTGGCTTCAGTACATTCTGAGAACTTCTCTGCAAAACTCCAGGGCACAGTGACTTTTTCCTGAGCGTCCACGTCTTAATTCCACCGTTCCCTAGCACGGATTAAATGCATTTGTCATTCCTCCACAAGTTTCTCTGACTGTATTCGGGTGCATCTATTCTTAAATGTATACTGCTTGGTGGTGCTTGTGCAGTTATAAAATGATGTCCATCCGTAGCTTGCTGCTTACCTTAGGCGGGCTCCGAGCACTGCCTTTCCTTCCACGTTCTTCACTACTTTATCCACCCGAACTGTTCTCACTGTACGCGTCAATTCCAGGGGATTTTCATTGTCTCCAAAGAGGTAGCAGCTTCTCTAGAACCATCATTGTCTCTTTTCCCAATATTCCTCTTATTTTCTGAGTTTTAAACCTTCCTGTTTGTTGGATTTGCTGGTGGGGCTTCATGCTATAGTCCGTTACATCTGTATCTGCCAGACCACTGGTTATAATTTTTCTTCACATACACAGTTGGGGGACTCGCTGGCATCACTACTCTACCCAGTGCTGTTGTAGAGATGTCTTTGGATAGTAGTTTCTGCCCTCTTTAAATAGCTTCATGTTTTCTTCCTTCCACCCAAGGAATTTATCATAAAGTCCATATAATTAAGGTGCTTGTTAGTATGGATTATTCTATTCCAAAGTTTCTAGTAATACCATGTACTTATACTTTTAAATTTATAAGGAAAAAAGTTTTTTAGAATTACTATTAGATATTTTATTTCAGCCTTCATCTACTTTGCTGCTTTTTTTGTTTTCATATCTAGCCTGGTTTTCCGTCTTTCCTGGGATCTTCCAACTTAATTACCTCACTTTTTCTTAGCTGATCTCTTCCCAAATCATAATTCTGTTTATATAAGCAGTCATTTTTATGTTTTTGTTTTTTTTGGTTTTTTGAGACAGGGTCTCACTATGTAGTTGAAACTGATCTGGAACTGTGTAGCCCAGGCTGGTCTCAAACTCACAGAGATCCTGGGCCTCAGCCTCCCGAGCGCTGGGATTACAGGCATGTGCAACCAAACCTGGCAGCAGTCATTTTTAAATTGTTACAAATTATCTGACTGCCCTTTCTCTACATTCACTTTAACTTAGGATCGTCTTCTCCCATTACTTTCCAGATTCATTCCTTTTCTTTGTATAGAGCCCTATTCATTTTTATTATCTTGAAGTATAGTTTTACCAAACCAGCTTTGAGAATTTAATGTGAGGCAGGGCGTAAGGAAGGCCCATGTTCTCAGCTAGCAGGAATCTGAAGGTGACCATTCAGTCTCTCCTTCAGAACAGCCTGCAGCCAACCAAACACCTTTGGCAGACATCCCTGCCATGAAATGTCAGGGCGATTCCTTATCCAGCCTGCTTCCTCTACAACTGGGAGCCAACCAAGTTCCCAGGGAATGCCAGTACTAGGCCTCGCCTCTAAAAAAGTACTTTTCGGGCTTCTGTGAGCCTCTGCTCTGTGTCCCACCCTCTGCCCCTTTTCAGCAGTCCTTGAACCTCATTTCAAGGCTTCACGTGTTTCCAAGCTTTATCACAGCTCATGTTTCCTTAGCCTCATAGCCAAGTTCCTTAACAACTAGTACTGCCCACCCTGCACAACTCTGTGGATGAGATCGTTTTTTAGTCCCCTTTACCTTCCTCCTCCAGGTAATTATTACCACATGCAGAGCATTGCCACATTATTCTGCTTGACAGCTTCCCTGGCTGCTGTCTGGGCAGAAGCATCACGGCTCTCTCCCCCGTCATCAGACACAAGTGTGCTCTGGAGTGATCCCACCACCTCCTGCGCTTCTGGGTGACTCTTCTCAGCCCAGTATGAATATACTTCTGAATACACTCACCCCATGACACTGAGAGGCTCCAAATAAAACAGACAAATAAATGCAGAACTTGCATTCCTGTCTTCCTACCACTAATGTGGTGTTGAAGTATCCAGTTTCCTTAAAAGGGAGCGCGCCCGGTAAAAAGCCAGGCGAGGATTTCACTGCTGTCCATGGTGTACTTGTGTACCTGCCAGCCCCCCAAGTCCTTTCTTCTGAACTGTACTGAAGACAGTGATTCTACTGAAAAGCACGTTTATTTTTTCCTACCTTCCACTAACCAGGTTTAACGACCTCCTCTTGCGCTGCCGAGAACTGGACACTTGGACCCAAGACCTTGTCCTTCCAGCTGTTGTGTGGCTTCCTGGCTTCTTCAATCCTCAGTCCTTCTTAACTGGTAAGGGTGGAGGAAGGGCAGCCTGCTGCCCTCGGGACCCCAGAACTCCTACCTTGGTAGTGCCTGATGATCCTCCCTGGCTGCAAGAGCGAGAGTGGCAAGCAGCAGGGGGAAAGGTCCCCAGGAACAGCGCAGAAGCAAGCACAGATGAAACAGAATCAAACTGCTGTTCAGTAAAACCTGACAGCCCAACAGTTAGAAACTAAGTGGCCTTAATTTGCCAAGCTCTACCGCAGGCACAAGCAGAATACCCCGTAGCCTCAAACATCCCATGGCACCAAAGACCACCTCCGCCTACTGGTGGCTCCTTTGAGCCTATTTATATACAGCTTTCTTCATCTTATTTAAGTCCTAATTCCTGATCCTTATCCTCCTAAAGCAATCATGCAGTCCATGGCTCGAAAAAACGAGTGGCCACTGGACAGAACATGCCTGACCGTGGATGTTACCAAAAAAGCAAAGGAAGATTACAGCCACCCGCCGAGGGAAGGCGCGTACCTCCACGGACTCAGCATGGAAGGTGAGCCACCTAAAGAGTGCCCAGGAGCCCTTCTCACTAGGTCCACGCTGGCATCTGAACATGTTTCTCAGGATCTGCTCACTCACAGCTTTGTGTTAGCAGATGCTTCTCATTTCCCTCCTTTCCTTCCACCAATGTAAGGGCCGAAGTGTGCATTCAGTGGGAGCCAACCTGAGCCATCTGGGGTGATGACTATCACTTAAACTTCACACCTACTTTTGGTGTCCATGTCCCAGGACAACGCAAGACCTACAATATTTACATTGTTTTGCTTTTCAATACAAAGCTGTCAGTAGATTTGCTCTAGTTTTCACTACCAGACTTTCCAAACTTTTAAGAGACTAAGACCCAAGAGTTTCCCAAGTTATTTGGCTGTGCAGTTCTGCAGTACATCTAGTCCTTGCCACGATGTGCCACCACTCAGATGTTTAAGGGCAGGGTCAGGGATCTGAATGATGAGAACTTGTTCTAAAGAAAGTAGTGCGGTGTCGACAGAATGTCCTGAATTGGAGATTTCTTAAGGAGTGAGAGATCTGCTTTAACGTGTCTGAATTCTTTGTGTGTGTCGGCTCGAATTGTTATATAAACTGTTTAACCTTTATATGCAGAACAGTAATGTATGTCTCGGATAGATAAGTTAACCTTTCTCAAATCTCAGTCATGGCCCAGCAAGGTCAGGATGCCACTGACAAGAAAAGATGTAGTAAAATCAGAACGTTTATTGCCTCAGTGAGAGTATCAGTACCAACAAGCCACACAGCTAGCAATTGCTGTCTCTGTCGTAGGTGCCAGATGGGACATTCAGTCTGGAACCATCGTTGAAGCCCGTCTCAAGGAGCTGACATCCACGATGCCAGTCATCTTTGCCAAAGCCATACCCATGGACAGACAAGAAACCAAACACACCTATGAGTGCCCTGTGTACAAAAACAAAACGAGGGGCTCCACCTACATCTGGACCTTCAGGCTGAAGAGCAAGGAGAAGACAGCTAAGTGGGTGCTGGCAGGTGTGGCTCTGTTGCTAGAAGCATAAGGTGGCTCTCGTACTGGGACTGCTGTTGCTCCAGCCTGTGCCAGAACAGTAAGCATCTCCTACTGTCACTACACCGGTTCCTATTCATGTATTCTACTGAAGGGCATAAAACATTTCCGCTTATGTCATTTCTTAGTAACTTACATACATGTGCATTCAGTTTTTAAAACAGTATCCTTAAACAGTGGAGAATGGGACAGAAAGACAAAGAAGCAAATATAGAAAATAATAATAGAAACCTGTTCAGGAACTATGTTCATTGATTTTAGCTACCCAGGGTTCCTCTCAGATACCCCATATCTCAACACAAAAATATACCGTTTCTCACATTTTCACCAAGACTGCACTAACTATCAAAAACCACGCAGCCTGGAGGAAGGGGAATCTTAGTTCTTATGGAGAGTAAATATCAAAATCTTTTTAAATTAAAACTTAGCCCTTAAATTCTTTCAAAACTAGAAGCAGCAGGCTCCGGGCAAGTCATAAAAGAAAAGACAGGCACTCCAAGGCCTCCAGTGTCTGCAGTATGACAGTCCACTTTTGTTTCATTTTAATAAAAACAAAACCCTACTAACTCTCATGTGGTTAATTGCACTTTGTAATTTAGGGGCACATTCTTCAGTATAAATGACCCATAGCAGGATAAACTACATGGTTTGAGTCAATCACTCACGATATGATAAACTAAAGGGATGAATGCCAGTAAAAATGGCACAGGGTGGCAGTTTGGGAAGTAAAAGGTAATTACACAATGTCAAAAGTCAAGAGCTGCTTATACAAGGTCTTCTTGGTAACTTACCTGAACTCTAATTCCACCCATGTAAACTGTCCTCCTGAATCATACTAAGGAAACACTTAGAACAACACAGATCTGTGTATACATGGATATACATGGATATAGATTCCTCTGCTTTTCTATTTTCCTGAAAAATCTTTTTAAGCATAGAAACAACTTTTTAAAATAGTATTCAGAAACAATCAACTCTACAAAGAACTTCTGTATAAAAATACAACTGTAACAAATCTTAGGCACAAATGGTATGCATGTCTTGGAGTATTCTGAGTTGGCTTGTTCTTTTTTCTCTCAATTGTCTTTTACCAGCTGCTTCTGTAAGCTGAGAAAAAGATGAGAAGTATTTGATAAGCAGTTAATCAGATGAGGCAAAGAACCAACCAGCCGCTATCTCCTGACACTCAAAATCCTGGCTTCTTGCTTCAGGGATTTAGCTCAGTGGCGCCCCCGCCTGCCTCATAAGCACAAGGTCCTGAGTTCAATCCCCAGTATGCACCCCCTCCCACCAAACCAACATCCTGTGTCTCCTTATAACTGCACATCCTGGATACTATGTGGCCCAAGTGTGACTCTTCACTCCCACATGCCAAACCCACACTTCAGATTCCTTACAGAAATGACACTTGTAGCCCACCAATCTGTGTCCTCATCTCTGTGAACAGAGTCAGATCTTCTCTCTGCTCAGTGTGGTTAGGGCTGCCTCTGGCTCTTCATAGTCTTCCCAGATCACCCTCAGCCAGCCCTATGTATCCCTTCCATTTTCTCTTTTATACCACGGGGAAGTTTTGGAAAAGAGGGCATTTCCCAATAGGGAAAGTGCCATTTCTGAGCCGCTTCAATGCAAATGGACACAGAACAGATGGCACTGGAGGTGTTTTTCATAATCAGCCATGTGTAGAGCGTCTTCCACAATGGACTGTACCTGAAATCTAAATGGCTAGACTCACCTCTCTAGATATTCCTTCACATTATCGTAACCATAAAACTTGGCCAGATGGATGAGGATCCCTGTGGCACAGCGGCCGTCACGCTTCCGACAGTAACTGCAGTTGCAGATCCCACGGCACGGAGGACACATCCAATCCTGAGAGAGACAGTGACAGAAATCCCCCCACTGTCTAAAGGCTCTGGCAAAGCAAGGGTCTCTCATCAAGCCTGGGCCTCTTCTCGTCTTTACCACAGGGCACTCCCCTCCCTAGGAGGAGTTCTCTCTCTAGTGCATCGCCTTCCTTCTCAGGGAAACCCCTCAAGGCTGAATTTTCCATATCACTGAGAAACTGACCGTTTTAGACAAGACCACATGATTAGTGGAGGCTCCTCTTCCAAACTTAGACTTTCCAAAGCATTAAGCCAAGTGTGAACTCTCTGTAAATGCCCAGGTCACACCCACAAAGTTGGCCTTGGTTTTAGGAGCACACGGTATGAATCTCAATTCTCCAGATATGTTAAATAAATTAACCTGAACAGTAGGTCTGTGAGCTGGGGATAGTACACGCACTCCTATTACTAGTGGAGAGGTCCCACAATAAAGTGAAAAGGTTAAGAGCACAGAGCCCAGAGAGCAGGGCTGCTTGGGTTCAAGGTCATACACAGTAACTGGCACTGCCATCTCTCTTCGGAGGGAACTGAAGCATAAACAGGTTACATACCTACTTCTTACAGCAGAATGTATTCGTTAAAAGTGAAGGTAAAAATAACTGCTTTGGCCCATGTGAGACCCACTTAGTGCTGTCAGACACACAGGCAACGCTGTGATGTGCCCACCCTGGCCAAGAAAACACGGGTCAATCACTTTGCTGGGGGAAAGTCACAGGATTAATTTGCACAAAACCAGACAACTGAAGAGAAGTTTAGCTCAACGCACACTTCTCCCCTCCTGTCGGCCAGCTTGTTTCCTTTCCAGGAGGAAATGCTATTTTTCATTCCCCCTAGTCTTAGGATGGGGAAGGAGGGGAAAGTGGTGAGGGCTCTACAAATCCCACAGCCCTTGCAGGTCCCCCACTTTGAGCTTGCTTCCTTCATCCGTGCAGTTTCTGACAGACGCCAACACTGCTCCTACCGGGTCCAGCAACGCCGATCTCACATCCTCGCCGTAGCGGTTGCGCAGGCACGGCCCACAGAACTGTCCTCGCACCCCGCCGCAGCTCTGGTTCCGACACACGGTCTTGGTGTCAATGGTCTTCTGCCGACACTGATGGCACGTGTTGCCCTGGGGGGAAAGGTGTGAGCAGCGAACCTGGGGACCTGTGCAGTGATGCCTGTGAGGCCAGATGCTGTCACATACATTACCATGTGCACAAAGCACCGCCTCCCTCCCGGAATCAATTCGATCACTTCCCCAGGACAAACCACAGTGACCTCTGCCAGGTGTAAGCACTTCAGGTCTGGGGCCACAAAAGCACACCAGAGGCACTCGGAAAGCACAGAGGAAAGGTTGGGGCCAGCACGGTGGAGCCCCTAGGGACCAACAGGTGACTGACTGCATGTGACAAGTCCAGGCCGTGTCAGTCAACTCCAGCCTGAGACCACAGACCTGGGTACCTTCCGTGTAAAACCTTATGTTTTAAAACGTTCGCATTTCAATTAGAAACATTTTAATACTACATTAAGACAGTGTTCCGTTACTTATCGAACAGTGATGCGGTGCCCTTTAAGTCACCAATGTGACTACTGTATTATCATGACTACTGTAGCTGCAGCGACAATACAAAGCCTGCTTCTAAGTCCTTGGGGGAGAGGGCAGGATCTAAACCCTGGTAGTATAAAATGGACGGGGGACTTCAAATACCAATGCTTTCAACACCCAGTAAGAATCCCAATCATACAAATTACTACTAATAAATCACTTACCAGAACTTTATCATAGATTTTATCTCGAACAGTTATGGCAACATTTTCCAAGTCCTCTTCCGTGATGTCCTCCACTGGCCGAAATGAAGACACACGACGACGCTGTCTATACCCCTGGCATTTCCCCTGCAAGATGAACAGTAGAACCGGGAATGAGATACACAGAGCCATTTAAAAATAATATTAAAATCTTAAACTTTATTGAGATCTAGCACCACTAGTGCTAACGTGTCTGTTCCATCTTCTCAGAAAACTTTCATCCGTGCAGCTATTCACTGCGCTCCTGCTCCAGGCCAAGCTCCCTCCTTGGCACAGGGATACAGTAATAGCGAGAGGCTTGGGCTTTTGGGTTCTGTACTGAAAACTGTGGACATAAGGAAGGAAGTCAATCACACTGGGCAGCCAAGCTCACGTATGGCAGTTTCTCCCTCCAGACTGAAGGCCCTCGAAAAGCCCCATCCAGAAATGGGCAAACTGGTGCTGATGGGAGCTGTTCACAGGTATTTTTGTCTGCACCAGTGATCAAGCAGAATCCAGCTCATTACAAGTAACCAGGGAGCTGCCTCTCAGCTCAGTCTGGGTACAGAACTTTCTTGGACCAGGGTTCTCAAAATGTAGTCCCAGGGACATGAGCACTACCTGGGAACGTGATGGAAACGCAAGGTCTGAGCTGGGCCTCCTGATCAGAAACTGCAGCTGTAACTAGCCCTGGGGTGACCTGATGCACACTCAGACTGGGGACCACTGGGTTAAGCCAACACTAATTCATGTATTAGAAAGTACCCCACTAATTGTCTTCCTTCTTCTAAAACTGTATAATTCTTCTGCAAATTTTGTGGCAGAGACAGTGAAGTTTTCTAGAGCAAACTTCTCCGGGGGCCGCGCACTTCGGGTTGGGTTCATGCGCCTTGTGATCTGTCCCTCCGAGAAGGCCCGTCGCACTGTTTTCTTCTTCTAAAACCAAGAGCACAGGCAGATCCAACTGGATAAAAGCCATCTGGCATCTGGTTACCAAACAGCAATGACTGAATGATTATGAGGAGTTCCACTTACAGAAGCTGAGGTCGGGGTTCGAACTGGGAAGAAATCTGGCATTGAGTTCAATTCCGCCAATAACTGAGCGAGCTAGGGTTCAGAGTGAAAGAAAGGATCTGATGTAAGTCAATGCTGCCATGTGTTGGTCATCCACTTCCTCTCATGAGCCTTCAATTTTGCCACTTGAGTAGTTTACATGAACCTCAACACGTGTGACACTTTCAATCTTACTCGTGAGGAATTTATCTCATGAGGAAATATCAACTGAGAAGCTGACACCAGCATTCATCTGAGTCAATTCTGTGCCCACTCCTTATCTAGGGACAACGCCGTATGAGGACTACAATATCTGGGCCTCGAGCAACACGGTCAGTTCCTGAATCTAATTAGCAGTGTGACCCAGGACAAATTTTACACAATTGAATTCAAGGTTGAGTATGTCCTTAAAACAAAACAGCTCAACCAGATGATTTAATGGTCAGTGTTCAAAAATCCGATCCCTAAGTTAACTTCTCACCAATAAAAACAATTTCTAAAGATACTCCCAAACGAACGCTTCATTTAATACCAAACAACAGGTACTAATATCCCAATCAGAGAGTTTAATCAGGATTAATTTTACAGTTATGTACATTCATGGGTACCAATTTAAAAAGCCACACAGAACATAGTTCTTACTGAGGAGAGAAAGTGCTAAAATTTTCCACTAGCCAAACTAATGTTTCTTAGATAAAAATTGCCCTAAAAGTTTTCCGTTTTCTTAGCAGACATGAGTGCACTCACAGTGTCAGTATTATGCTTTCTAAAAAATACACAATGAAAAGAATTTAGAATTTTAAAAAAATTCTGTCTATACAAAATTATGAAGCAAGCAATGAATGATTCTCAAAAATGATCAAATGAAGCTACTGACCAAATAACATGTAAGAAAAAAAAACTTGCTTTGTCCTATTAACTGTTCTGACAGATGAGTTTTAAAATGTGTTGTGTTAAGTTGCTTAATTCCTATACCTTTCCCATTCCTTCAGATGATATCTCCATAATAGAGCAATTTCTAGGTAAAAGCTGCCTGCCCGCCCTGCCCATGGCAACTCTGACTGGACTCAGCCCAGTTTTCAGCCCTTCTCAACCTCAATACCATGACTGATTTAGAACTGAACCTGATAAACACTAAGTACCATCAGCAACTGCCTCTTTGTAGGGACTATAAATGAACAGTCCAGGGAGCCTCTTTCTAGTCCCAAACCACAGCTTATTGTACAATAATGCTTTAGGTTCTAGAAAAGAAAAAGGACACACAATCCCCAGAGCCCACTTTGCCCACAGAAGCCAAAGTGGCAGCACCCATAGAGGCTGCTGCCCCAGAACCTTAGCCCCTGCTGTCACAGCCCAGCCAACCCTGGCACTGCCTGGGAACCTCACTCACCATGGCCTTGTTCTCCTTGATGTTCATGTTCCTCTTCAGCAGAGCATCCGAGCCCTCCTGGCTCTCATCCCTGGAGTCGTCCTCAGAATCGGAATCCTCCCCTTCCATCGCCTGCCTGCAGCTTTTCTTTCTTCCAATCATTTTTTTACTGTCCTGTAAGTACGAGCTAGAAAACAACTCAGAAGAACCATTTTTATCTGACTTCTTTGCCAGTTTCTTGGAGGGGAACTGAAAGGCTACTCGAAGGCCAATGCTGCTGCTGCTTCTAGATCTGCCTCTCCTGGGTGTAACCTTTTCTTCTTCATCATCGTCTTCCTCACTCACCAGAGATGCTTTATCATTGTCACACAAATCTGACTCCACGAGCTAATAAAATACAAGAACAAAGACACTGTCTATAATGGATCTACTCCTCACCCCCTAAACCCATTCATTTCAAAGTACTCAGATAACATTTTAGAAGAAATGGGTAGTGAAACACTTCTTTCTACTACTGGCTTCATGAGCTCTTCAGTTAAATTCACATGGAATTAAATTTTTGATGAATGAAAACAAAGCACAGGCAATCAACTACTAAACCATGCCCACACCACACCACGGACACACAGGGAGTCGGCCTGTGAGCAATCACCAACAAGTGAGGCTCCTCTATGGTGAACAACCCAGCTGGCACATCTGGAAACTAGGTCAAGTGAGAAAGAATCAAAGAAACGGGTACGCATGACAGAAGAGTTAGAGGGGCGTGCGTGGAGAATACCAACCAGTTCCAACCACCACCTGGAACAGGACTCATGAAAGGCCAGCCAGGAGAGAAGACTTCACCCTAGTGAAGTGACCAAGGGCAGACAGAAGACCTGCCACTGGGGTTAGTGGGGACCCGCCACCCTCAGGGCAGCATGGGTCCTAGATCAAGGAGAGGACCCCAGAGTCATCCTCCTCTGTAACCTTCAGAACCACAGGGTGAAATCAAGTCACACAGCTCAAGAAATTCTCACCCTAATCTCACTCCAAATTTCCAAACACCACATGCTACAAATCTCTCCAGCATTAAAACCTCACTTGGGTTTCAACTGAGCATTCAGGACAGATGATAACAGGGTGACATCATCCAGGTGACAGTGGGATAACACCTGAAATGTGACTGCGACTCAGTGACAGTATGGAGAAGTTTATTCAAGTCCAAGGACATCTAAGCATCCTTTCTTTACAACAAGGGGGAAAACTCAGCCTGGGAACTGCTGTCAAGGAGTCCTAAAGATAGGCCACCACAGGTACAGCAGCCATAAGATGGACCAAAGACAATTCGGTAACAGTACCTCCTCTCCAGTGACTCCCTAAATTCTAGCTGGACTCACGGCAGAAATGAGAGGGAGGAAAAAAATACAGATGACTGCCAACCCCGGGCACCAATCCATACCATGCTGAATGGGGAGATAAGACTGGTTCATACCCTAACTTTTCACAGAAGTAGCTTCAAAATCCAAAGTGGGAGTAGCAGGAGGCCTGCAAAACAACCCAATTTTAGGGGATGCTGCCAGGGAGACTTCAGATTTGCTCTATTTTTCTATCTTACTCATCATCTACCCCACCTCTCTGTACCAAAAAAAGTGGAAGCGCTCATTCCAAAGGACTGACGAGGTCAAGAAAGAGCAAACCATCAACACCGGTCCCAAGATGAACCCCAAGATGAGTGTCAGGCCAGCACTTTGGCTGTGAGCATTTCCCATCAGGTCAGGGACCACCAGAAACCAAGGTCATGGCAACATCCCACTGTAAGAAAGGATTTCAAGAGCATGCATTTGAGGCAACAATGCTCATTTTCTGAATGACATACGAAATAAGTATCTGCAGGTGAACCTGCACTGAGCTGTGCACTTTATCACAGAGCAGGCAGCACATCACAGTTCATACCCTACATGGGTAGACCCTGAGTGGAGAGACTTTTGGGTAATTCACTGCCCCTCACTTAGCTAAAGGACAGATCAATAAGTTACTAAGAGATGATAGCCATTAGGGTATGAAAGGATCTTAGTTTTGCTGACAAGGAACTGCTGAACAGAACCAACAAATTGCCAGACAAACTGCTTCCACACAAAAAAAGAAGAGGAAGAGGAAGAAGAAGAAGAAAAAGGGTGGGGAGAGGAAGAGGAAAAAAGAGAGAAAAGAAAAGCCACAGCAAAGTTGGGGCCTCCAGGCTGGTCCAGCTTTATATTGCTATCTGTGGAAAAAAAAGCCACCATCAAACAAGACAACCCAGCATTAGGGCTTTCCTTCCAAAGCCTGCCAGTCACTGCCATTTACTGCCACAGGTTCCCCAGGAGCTACTGGCTGTGGATAGCTCCATCCATCCTCACTCTGATACCAATGAAGGAATCAGTGTATTTATTTCTTGGAAAAGTAACAAATCCTGCATCTTTTATGTTTTTATGTATCAGCTACACGCTAACTGATATTCAAAAAAATATATAGGAAGGTTAAACACAAGGCAATATTTTAGATTGGAAACTAGAACAGAAAGAAGATATGAAGAAAAAAACTCTCAAAAGTCTAGAATTTAATTAATAGTAATATACTAGAATTACTTTCTTAGTTAACTGACAAATGTGTCAGTTATGCAATAGGAAATCAGGTCAAACATGCAGGGATTGAGTGTACTATCTTTGTAATTTTGTAAATCTAAAATTATTTTTACACACATGCATACACATTGTACTTTAAAAAGTTATATATGATTCAAATACCAGTGAGCAGAAAACCAGCCTCATTATAAGAGAGGAAAAGAGACAGGCCGACCACCCAGTCTCTTAAAGAGAAGGGCTGAGAGCAGATCTGCCCAGATTCCAGGAGAGCCTGGGTGACCGTTAAGATTAAAGCCCCGTCAGCATCAAGATGCAAACGGAACTCCAAGTCTGCACTACAGCTACTGCTCCATTTTTAATAAATTAAACTCAAACCTAAGAATATTACTTTACACAAAACAGGAAAGGGCTTGGGTGATCTGATCACCCCAAGACAGATAAAAGAGGCTGGAGAAACCCTGACATAAACTTCCATAAGGACAGTGAAGGATGACACCTGGGACACACCCTTCAGGGCACAAGGCTTTAAAGGCAAATGGATTTTTCTCTGAGAGAGGAATGGACTAGCAGCCCAAGGATTTGCCTTAGAGTAGCAATTTTTTGTATGCTAATTGGCTTATAAAATAAAGCACAATCTTTTTACTTCCCAGTCCTTTTTCACTTTGTATTTTTCAGACAGGGTCTCCTTAGGTCTCTGAGATACCCAGGCGCTAAGATATCCAGGCTGAGTTCAAACTTGCAATCTTCCTGCCTCAGCCTTCCACAGTCCTGGGCTTATAGGCATGGCTGCCACTCCTGGCTTCATGCAACTTCTTAGGAATAAAACCACAATTCAGAAATAGACTAGGAATACTACAGCCCACAACCCTTTGCATGGATGATCACTGCCATTACCTCTGGGTTACTCTTTATGTTCAGCTCATTCTGTGTGAATCCTTCAAAGTCTTCAGTCTCTGAGTCACTGTCCTCTATAAAAATTCTTCTCAGCTCATCTGTGAAGTATTTGGAATGGAAATGCACACCCTGCTAAAATAAAAGTGCACATGCATCAGAGACAGGAAGCAGAGATTACCAGAGAAGGGGGGAAAGGGAGAATGGGGAATTACCATTCAGTGGGTACAAGTTTTTGTTGGAGATGATGAAAGGTTCTGGAGACAGATGGTGGTGACAATTAAACAACGTGGCAAATATACTTTATGCCACTGAACTGTACACTTCAAATGTTAATATGGAAAAGTTTGCATTACATCCATCTTACCACAATAAAGACACACACATTTTCTTAAAACATACAAAAATTAAGACCTACAAGTTAGGCAGAGGTGGCATGCACCTGTAATCTCAGCACTAGGGAGGCTGAGGCAGGGGACCACAAGTTCAAGTCCCAGCTGGAGAACTTAGTGAGATGCTGTCTCAGAAAAAAAATGAAAAGGGCTGGTGATGTACCTCAGTGTGAAGGCCCTGGGTTGAATGCCCAGTAATACAAACACCCACAAAAAAGACCTACACGTCACACAATTTCAAAAGTACCAAAATGCTTGTCACCTTAGTCACTTCAGGTATGACTGGTAGGCACTGTGGGAATTCAGCTTTTCCTGCACCTGCAAAGCTGGCAACCAGAAATGTCTACTTTCACACGGAATCGATACAAAACAGAGAAAAGGACTTGAGACGAGAAGCTGGTTCCCTTTCACACACAGGATTGCTCCCTGACAGCATCCAGAACCCAAATCTGCTCCCCATGGCTAAGCCTGCTTCCCCCGCTTCAGAGCTGGGGACCCTCATGCCCCTCAGCACTGCAGGAGACTGGACTCGCTCCATGGCCAGGTGGTGATACACAGCTGCCACCCTCTCATCCCCAGAGCACCTGTCTCACAGACGGCAAGAGGTCAGTGAGCAGTTTCACCACAGGTGAGCAGAGGGAAAGATGGTACATGAGTCATCTTAAAAATCACCACCCGAGTATGTGGTACACGGCTGTAATTCCAGCACTCTGGGAGGCTGAGGCAGGAGAATGACAAGCGTGAATCCCATCTGGGCAAATATGCCAAGACCCTGTCTCAGAATAAAAGAAATTAAAAAGGACTAGGGATAGAGCTCGGTGCAAAGGGCCTGGGTTTGGTCCCCAGTACTGCAACCAAGGGAAAGATTATTTCCTAATAATGACTATTCCCTTCTTTGGTATACTATGGTAGAAAGAAGGAAATCCAGCTCTTTTAACTCTATGTCTAAAAGGAGAGAGAAAGAACTGCAGAGCTGAAGGGAGACCCCCACGGGCAGCCTGCTGTGAGTCCCAACACTCCATCGGGGCTGAGTTTCCGCCCCAGACTCCACTTATGCCTCCCCCCACCATACAGTAGTGACCCCTGTAACGCCACAACACACTGGGACTCCCTAGCTCCGCCTTGCCTTCCCCTGACTTTAATTATACACTTCGGCAAGCTCCGATATCTTTGGGGAAAAAAAAAGATATAATAGACAAGTGGAAAAATGGGGATAGAGAAAGAAATGCCTACATCTAGCATTCTTTAAGCTTAAAAATGTCTATGAATTATTATGGGTAATTGGAATGAGTCTGCTCAGAGCTAAATTACTTTGTTCCTTTGTTGATAGCCGTGGTGCAGCTGCTTGGGAAAAAAATACAGAAAAAGGGAAGTTTTTTTTTCTTTTTAAGTGAAATTCAAATTGTGTTCAAGCGAGACCAGAGTCAACTACATACACTGCGCTGAAATGCACGCAGCCTTTTGGCTGGTTAAAATGGATCATAGTACGTGGGGTTGACAAGCAGACCACCAGTGTTGATCACCAAGGCAGACCTGGGGAACCCAGCTGGTGGCTGCTAAGGAAGGACACTGCGCACCTGCATTCAGGGACATCTGGCTCTGTCCCTGCAGGCTGTTCTAGGACAATGGGTCTGTCTGCATTTCATGAAATAGCCAAAGCTCCAGCCCAGGGCCTGAAGAGGACAGATCAAGCCTCAGAACAGTTGAGTACAACGCTCCAATCTTTCTGGGCTTATCTCTCCCTTGTTCTGGCCTTCAAAGGGCAGTGCACAGCTTGGGAGAAATCACTGGTCCTGAAATGACCAGCCCTGATGGGAAAAAAAACAACTTAGCTCAATCCTAAACTGAGCCTTAGGCTTTCATTTTCCTTACCCTAAGGGGTATAAAACCTGTTTCTCACATAGGTCTGTACAAAACTGGTATGTACCCTGATTATCGCTGCATTGGTTACAACCTTCAACAGCTAGCTGCTCTTTGGAATGTGTTAACACATATGAAGAATTGGAAAAAATCGACCCCCTAATCCAAAAATGGGCATCAGAGATGAATACATACTTCTTAGATTAAGTAGTACAAACAGCAAATAAATACATGAAAAAATGTTTAACATCACTGATCATTCAAGAGATGCAAATTAAAACACCACTGAGATTCCATCTCACTCCAATAAGAATGACTATTATTAAAAAATCAACCAATAACCAATACAGGCAGGGATACAGTGGGAAAAGAACCTTTCTCCACTGTTGGTAAGGGTGTAGACTGGTGTAACCACTGTGGAAATCGATCTGGAGATTCCTCAAAAAAACTGGGATTAAGGATCTCATTTGATCCAGCTATTCCCCTGCTGGGTATCTTCCCAAAAGAATTAAAAGCATCATTCCAAAGCGATATATGCACACCCACGTTTAAAGCAGCACAGCTTGTAATAGCTAACTCTTGGAAACAGCCCAAATGCCCATTAACCAACAAATGGATAAAAAAGATGTGGGTTTCTAATACAATGGAGTACTACTCAGCTGTAAAGGAGGATAAACTGGAGACATTTACAGCTAAATGGATGCGCCTTGAAACCATATTCTTCAGTGAAATAAACTGTCACTCTGGTGTGAGAAATTGAAAGTATAAATAAGGACCAAGATATATAATAGATATAGTGAAATAGGAAGAAATTGTTCAAAATTATATCTAGTGTAAGATACTTTGGTAACAATTTAATGTTTTATGCTTTATATTTATGTTTTAGGTATAGAATTACTAGGAAATGAGTTGAGAGATAAAGATTAGCAATTGAAAATATATGCTTTTAGATCACAATACAGTGTATTTACCATTGTTGTTCTCTATTTTTGTTTTGAAAAATTACTTTCTCACAGAACTGTTTTTATACTTTCCTTATCAATATCTACTTCTATTACATTAAAATAAAAATTAAAAACAGGGCCAGGGATTTAGCTCAGTGATTCTGCTGCCTACCTCGCAAGCACAAGGACCAGAGTTCGATCCCTGGTACCAAAAAAAATAAAATAAAATAAAAAATAGAATGTGTTCATGATCCTTCAAAATCAATACTGGGTCTTATCTGGTGGGCTTCAGTCAATGATAGCTACCAGAACCACAACCATAAGCGAGTAACAGTGCCACAGGTGGTTGGTTGTTTGAAGCCCATGTGACACGGGCACAGACTGGAGAGCCATGGCCTGCTGAACCAGTTCGATGGCATCTGTTTCAACTATACCCAACACCCACCAGTGCTCACTCTGTAGTCATAAGGGGTGCTAGGTGCTTGAAACGAGGAAAGGGTCAACATGAGGACAACAGGTCAGAGCCAGGGAAGCGAGAAAGCACCCATCCAAGATGATCTCCCCCTCCTAAGGAGCTTGTAATCTAATCTAGTAGGAGAGCCAGACAAGTCCATAAGAAACCATGGTGAGAGCCAAGGTTGCAGAAGTCTGGAAACAGCCACCTCTGAACAGGATGTGAACCAGGACCGAGTCTAGAGAAACAGTAAGGAGAACACAGGCAGGACCTACTGTGGACCAGTGGACGGAAAGGGAAGAACCATGCTTGGTCAGGGAATCAACCCAGTTCCGGTCTCAGAAGCACAGCAGGGAGGTAAGGGGCCCGATGATGCTAACAGGCTGTGAAGTGGTCACGTATCAAGTGGGGCACCCCCAGGTGTGAGGCCTTCAGCAGGTCTTTCCCCTACCTGAGGTTCGGTTGCATGTCCTCTAAAATGGGACAGTGACAGCACCTCCACCCACCCGGGAGCTCCATGAAGAAGTATAGTGTCTGCGTGAAAAGCACATGGCACTGTCACAGTTGTCCATAGCCTGCTGGGGTCAGGGTGGGGAGGTGGGAAGGACAGGCGTGACCGGGGAAGCAGTTGTCACGGCAGCCAAAACAGTGGCTCTGCTTCTCAATGTCCGGCACGTGCCAGGCTGTGCGCTGGGCCCTGTAACACTGCTCGGCATGGTCCTCAAGGGGACCTGACAGGCTGCACGCTCCCTCCTTCAGTGCCTGACCCTTCACACAGCAACTGGAGGGGCAGTGGCCAGAGTGCAGTCCCAAGAGATCCCAGCAGGAAGGGTAAGGGTGAGGAGGCTGAGGGCAGCTGAAGAGAAGGGAAGGCACGCACACTTCCTCAGCTCCTGGAGGGGAAGAAGGAAGATGGGAAAGGAGTCGGAAGAAGAACAAGAAGAGGAGGAGTCAACAATAACAGATGGAGATTAAAATAATAGTAATAATGGGCAAATGAGACAAGCGCGGAAACATGGTGAGCTTCGGCTGTCCCCTGAAGAACCTAGACCAGTCCAGCTGGTGGTCAAAAATATCTACGGGGCTGGACAGAGAAGCTGAGCTACACACAAAACACACGGCAGCAGCCACAAGCAGGATAGCTGATGTCAATGAGAATACTCATAGCGAAAAGGTCTGAGCACAAAATGTTAGGAAATACCCACATTTAGGGACAGGAAAAGAGACAGCAAACAGCACAAGGTCTAACAGAGAGGGAGAACCAGAGGAGTGAATGGAAGTGATTCTGTGGGATGCCACGGAGGCATCAAATAAAACGAGGCCCAGAGACTGGGGAGGACAGTAACCCCAGAAAGCACAGCGCCCCCTAAGGCCAGAACACATAGTGATCAGAGAGTGAAGCGGGCTCTCCGGCTTCCCTTCTTGGGTCTGCTCAGCTGAAGCGAGGCTGGGTTAGTTTACAGTCTTTGAGGAGAAGCTGTAGGAGAGGGAGAGAGAGGAGTTTTAAGCGTTACAATGAAGTCGGAAGAAAATGCCACTGAAGGCTAGATATTTTGATTGGCCATTCCACTGCTAAGGCACAATATAAACCTCCAGGACTCTAACTCTCAGAAAACTGTAACTTATGTTTGCTACTGATCAAAGTCATTAAAGAAAGAATTATGCTCTCCCCAGCAGTTCCAAGAGTGAGGTTCCGATAGACTCTCACTACGGGTCCACGGCGAGGCAATTGTATCACAGGAACTGCACAGTCCGCGTGCGCCTCACTGCCCCATGGTGCAGGCCAGCCCTCCCCTGCCAGCTGCGTGGGAGGACTCTGCCTACAGCCTCACCCCAGGTGACAGCCAAGAAAATGGATTTGATCATGTGAGGTCCTTTTATTGAAAAGAAATATTTTAATGGGCAAGATTAAAACAGCAAACGTGAACAGAATCCTCTTGCCAGTTCCTTAAAACATGAAGGCACAATGCTTCTAAAATACAACGTTCAATAACTGATATCACCAATCTTGGACCACGCTGAAATCAACATCCACATCAAAACGCAGGCTTCCAGAGGAATACACCTGCCTCAGAAGGAAACATCCGTACCTGTTTTCTCAACTCCAGTGAGTCAAAACTATCGCAGCTCTCCTCGGAGGATAGGGTTTCCATGGGAACGTCATCTCGGAAACCGACAAATTCTTCATCATCACTGGGGGCGTTAAAGATGTCAGCCACTTCTTTAGGGACCTGTTTCAGATTCAAAAGAAAAGGATGAAACTGGGGCTGTTGCAATCACTTAGCAAGATTCTCGGAGGAGAGCAAAAATCACCTGGTAACTATCACGTTGCCATGTTTGCCAGAAGACCCCAATAACCCTGAACAAAATGGTTTCACCTATGACCTTAGGGCAAAAAATAGTGAGAACAGAGAAGATGTCTTCCAATTCTTGACACAAGCCCTATCTTACAGAGTGTTGAGGCCATGCCTGGACAGAAACCATTTCTGATTTCCTGACAGGGAGAGTCAAAGGATGGGAGGGAAGAAACACATAATAAGCACCAGTTTCTGAGAAACCAATCATCTTATTTCTCTTCAGTAACATTCATATACCAAAAAAGATTCCCTCTGATGTTAAGCTCCTCTTTTCTTAAATAATCTCAACCTGGCAACATGCAAGCGGGCCAGGAAGGCAGCTTAGTTTTTTCCAAGAGGTGAAGTTCACCAAGACGTCCAGTGATAGACAAAGGTTTGATGATCAGAGTCCCAGCACCAGCAGGGGCAGTTCAGATTCGGACCAGTGAGACCCAGCTGCTCCCAGGCCTGAAGAGAAAGAACCAAGAAAACCTACCACCCAGCAGAAGAAAAGCACCAAAGTCTCTAGCAAAAACACAGCTAAGTTTTTCACTAGTGCTGAAAGAATACAGAAGGAGCTAGCCAAAATATCCCTTGATCATCCTAACTGCAGGCGGGGGGCCTAAAGGAAATAACATTTATGAATGGAGAGCAACTATACTTGGGCCCCCAGGTTCTATATATGAAGGTGGTGTGTTTCTTCTGGGTGTCACATTTTCATCGGATTATCCACTTAAACCACCGAAGGTTACTTTCCATACCAGAATCTATGAATGCAACATCAAGGGTCCAGGGTCATCTGGTCTGGACATCCTTAAAAACAACTGGAGTTCTGCTTTGACGATTTCAAAGGTTTTGCTATTTGTTCCCCTTTGACAGACTGCAACCTTGTGGATCCTCTGGATGGAAACACAGCCATTCGGTATTTGACATGACAGTGGACCAAGAGATACGCAGCACGAGTCACACAATGTGTACGCAGTGTGAGGGGCAGGGGGGATCTTCCAGCTAATCTTTATGGCCTTCACAACAGACTTCTGTGTATGTTATACTGATTCTACTCTCAGCCTTTATCCTTAAGAGACTGGGAGACTCTTCAAAAAAACGCTATCAAGAGCAGAACATCATAGCTGTGTGTTAGTTATGTTTAAAATGCCACCTTGCAAGTCCTGCTTTTTTGGAATGTCAAAATGTATTTTCTGATGGACTAAGGATACTGGTCCTAAAGTCTACCAAATATTATAGTGCATGGTGGCCTAATTCATTATCGGTATGAAGTTTTAAAAGTAGCAATAGATGACGAGGAATTATGTCAATTGTATGAAACTCAGATCTATTTCTGAGTATATGGCTCATGATACTGTAAAAATGTTTTGTTAGTGTGTAATGAAAGGATTTCCTTTACCCTTTGTAGCTGAGAGCACTGATATATCACCTCAAATACAATAAATATGCTCCTGTAGGGGATAAAAATCTCAACCTATATTCTTTCTCTTTCTGTTGTCATACGTTGATTCAGAGATTAAACGTTCATACAATAAAACTAATGGTGTTCCTGCTTTTCTACACACGAGATCAATTTAAGTAGCTGTAGAATTAATTCGAAGAGAATTTAAATGCCATTAGGGGTTAATTATTCCCAGAGAAACTGTTATCAACATACATAATCTAATAAATATTTCCTGGAAATCCATTTTTTTCACCCAAATATTTTTTAAAATTCAAACACACAGAAATGTGAAAAAAATCAGAAACACCTGTACATTCTTCACCAAGAGCCACCCTTTGTCTCCGTATTTGCTTTTTTCCTCCCTCTTTCAACAAACATTAGGCTGAACCGCTGACTTTCAATCATACAATCAGCCCACTACAGCATATGCGCATAGGCTCCCCACACTGTGGTGGACGTTTTAATAGGACGACTTCCATAAGGCAGTATCAGCCAACCTAACATATAACACCTGTTTTTTGATGTTATTTGCACACACACCACTTTAGCATACATCTCCCCAGGACAAGGACATACTTCCAGAGAATGATAAAAATCACAATCATACCTAATTAACATTAATTCATTAATACCATTTATTATAATTATTTTCATCATCACGGTGTCCCCAAAATGTCTTTTATGACTTCTGAGGGGCCAAGGAGACCCACTCAAGCAAGGTTTGTGCATTGCATTTGACCACTTTTCGTGACACCATTTTGTGTTGTTTTTCACAACTGACCAAGTACAAATGCCTCATAAAATGTCATCATTCAGAGCTTACCTAAATCTCTTCTCAAGATTAGATTCAGGTTAAATGTTTTTGGCACCAGTTCTATGTAAGTGAAACACATATCTCAATGCACTGCATACGGAGGCACAAAATAAAGTGTTATGCCATTATTAATGAGTAGTGCTTTTTAATTAATTCTAAAACACTTCAAACATATTTCAGAAGTACAGAGAGTAATATAATGAGTGTAATATGTTGACCCCAAGCAATTACCTGCCATGGCTCATCTTGCTTCATCTGTATACCTACCAAAATTATGTAATGAAGGATAGGGGTTTATCAGATGCCTCGGGAGAGCTGAACCAGGAGGCTTCCACAAGAGCGAATCGGGAAGGTGCACCTGACTCACTCACATGCAGGAGGTGGCTCACCCCAATGGGGATTGAAGCTTCTGCCCTGGAGACACTTGTACACCTCACTCTATGCATCTTCACCTGACTGCGTGTGTATTTGTTGTATTTCCTTTATAATTAACCAGTAAACCTAAGTATGTATTTTCTGGCGTTCTGTGAGCAATTGTAGCAAAGTAATCAAACCCAAGAAGGGAGCATGGGAAACCCAACTGGCAGTTCTCTGGCCAGAAGTTCCAGAGGCCCAGACTTTGGCATCTGAAGTGGAAACTCAATCTATAGGGTCTGATGCTACTTCCTCCAGGTCAAGTCAAAAGCGAATTAAATTAGAGAATACCCAGCTGGGTTTCACTGCAGACTGGCTTTCTGGATTGCTAGTGGGGAGAAATCTATCCATAGAAAGGGTCTGTACTATGAAATGTGCATATAGGAAAAAGGGAGGGGGGCTTATTTTTCTTCTACAGAGTCAGACATCCTAGGTTTTTTGAATGAACAGAGCAAGAATATAGTAAGTATCTTAAAACACAAATTCACATGACATCTTGAATTCAAATCCAACATTGCCAATTCCTCATGTCCCTCAATCCCATATTGGTATCACCCTTCCCCTAAAATGAAAACCACAACTCCCAATATTTCTAATATGTTTATCAATGTGCTCTCTCTAGAATACACTCAAAATAGTGTCTAATTTCTACCACCAGCATACTGCCAACTACTCTTACAACACAGTTCTACTAGACACTAGATCTTTTTTCTTGGGGTAGCCAATCACTGTCCTTGGGGATGCACAAGAGCTTTCCAGGTACTTCCCATTTCATCAGAGTATATTAAAAAGTAAGGTCCTCCCACCAGCCATATGCAATGGCACGTGCCTATAATTCCAGCACTTTGGGAGTTCAAGCCCCACTTGGGCAATTTAACAATTGGCAAGACCTTGTCTCAAAACTCAAAGTAGAAGAGTCTGGGAACATAGCTCATTGGTAGAGCACAGGTGGGTTAGATCCCCAATGCCTCCCCGCAAAAAGCCCTCAAGGGTCAAGACTTAAGAAAGTTAATTTTTACTCCATCACTAGAACAGTCTTGTGTGAAACTGACATTTCCTTTTTAAACTGAGTGTATGGAGGTGATTAATGAAATGACTACTAAGGAGAGTTTACGAATACAACCTTGACTCACCAAAGGCCAGGAGTTCTCTCTACTTTTGCACAATCAATGCAAATATCAACACAACAAAAAACAAAAAATGTTAACTAATGTCCAAGTATGATCGTGACAATAAATTTGCCCTCATCTCCCACTAAGAGCCTCAGGGGCAGGGGAATCTCTCCACTACCCCCAGCCTATTTTGACTGCTGTGCTCGCAGATTTGTGTATTCTAAAGCTACTTGAATTTTTTTAATTCTGTGTGAATTTTACATTTAGTTCCTGTTGAGAATTTATTAATCCCTGATCCACTTATTTGTTTGTAGTACTTTTAATATTTCTTGCTTAAAAATTAACAGCTCAATCACAGGAAATTTAACATTTTCAGGGAACATAAATCACAGACTAGATTCTACAAATTCAGTGATATTAGAGGATTACAGTAAACACTTTCTTGTCATCTAATAAAATCATCAACATGGAAAACAGAAAATACTTAAGTCTAACTCTGACATGGTTCTTGAAGGAAAAATTAAAATGTCACCGAGGTACATTAAACAGTGTTAGGCACCATTATCACTTTGAAAAATATCTTTTGTTGCTCAGCCACAGAACTCATACCCAAGTCAATATTTATGCAGAAGAAACACAGACAGTATTTGTGAAAGTGTGAGTCGGGTATGGTGGTGCATGCCTGTAATCCCAGCACTTTGGGAGGCTGAGGCAGAGGGATTACAAATTTAAATCACACCTGGGCAATTTCACAATATCCTGTTCTCAAAAAAAAAAAAAAGACTAGGGACATAGTCCAGTGATAGAACACCCCAAGTTCAGTTCCCAATACTACCAAAAAATTTTAGGAAAGTGTAAGTATGTTATATTTAATATAACAACACTGAGATCAGTCAGTCCCTGAAGCAGAAGGGACAGTGTGTCGCTTTGTCTTTTTTGATTTTTCACCATTTTACAAGTCAAAGGGCTCTGCCTGAGGATTCTTGCTTTAACCTGAATGCCTCCAGGAGGAGCACTCCATGCGTGGATTTAATGGAAGTACACAAAGGGAACAGAGAGCTCCGGTACAGCATTAAATTGCTTCCAGCAGCAACTGCATTAGCTC